AGTTTTATAAAGTACGACCTATATTCAAGTGGATTTACACATTTCATTGTTTCCGATTACAATTCATTTGTATTGTGCTAGAAATGTTATATATAAAGAAGTACTGTTATGATAAAGATACTAATTTGGCCAGAAATGTTTAGCGTGTCTCTGCTAGTTATTAAAGATTGGATCAAAAAGGTAATAAAAACCTTGGAAATTACTTTTAAGATACATTCACTCTTTAAAGGTTTTGGGTGAAATATGCAAAAAATTAAAAAATTGTAATTATGTTTTACATTATCATTGATCACAAATATGATGGACTTACCTGAATCATATGATAAATTATTCTTGTGTAGGCACTTTTATTTTTTAAAATTACCATGCTTTTAAGTATATGTGATATTAACTTGTTTACTATATTGCTTTTTTTTTGGCTATTTTCCATCTATTTGTTGAACTTATTGTATAAATAGGGCATTACATGATGCTTAATAAGTAAGTCATTGTCGGTCAATTGTGTACTTGCCTTGAACTAATGTAACCTAAATCTGCTATCAAGACTGCCATGTCACAATATGTCCTTAATAAATCAGTTTCAAAATATTGACATTTTGAAATCTAAACAAGGGAATCTATGCATGTGAACCTGTGCACATTGGAAATAACATGAATATAATACACAAATTACAGCTTACATTCTTGTATTAGATAAAGGCTTTAAGAATACATTGATTGATATGGGCTTATTCATAAATTTATAAGAGTGGTTCAGGCATTTTAACTTGCCAAGCAGCAATTTAAAAAGCAGAAATTTCTGGATGAATTTAGTTTTGTACATAATCTATGGACTGCCTAATAATGTTTCATAGCATAAAAAAACAAATTATTAATATGAAACTTCACTGTTAATTCTGATATCTCTCTTAAATTATCAATTAATATTTTTGGTGAATTTTCTTGATCTTATTTAAGAAATTCTGAAAATTGTTGAGAAGAAACAACTGCCATTAATCAATCATTAGGCCTTTTTATTGGCTGAAGTAGCTCTTCCCACCCATCAACTGTGATTAAAAGGTGGCGTTTGTTCTCAGTCAAGTGTCTGAATTGCTGAGAAATATTGAGACAGACAAGGCAGCCATATTAGCCTCTCTCTGTTCTAAACACACTGAAATGCTGGACACATGTTACATATTTGGTGCAAGTAACTTTGTTTTCTTTTTGAGCTTTAAATTTAAATAAATTTTAAGTTACAAACATTTTGTTATTTGAAGTGTTTACCAATTACTTTTTCCAAATCTTCATTTCTGTACTGTCAAAATTTGACATTGAAAGCAGTCAGTCAAGTAGCCTGCCTTGAGGCTGACTCTGATTTTTTGTTACTAGAAGTTAGCTAACATTGTATATCAGTTAAAACATAAAGATTAAAGAAACTTTCATAAGAATTTATATGTATTACGTTTTACAGAAAATTGAACGACTCAAAGCCACCCTACACGTGCTTGATTCTGAAGAACGACCCCAAAACAAACATACTTTTTTTGTAGATACCAAACATGAAGGTAAGAATTTATTGAAAATGACATTTATTTCATAAAATATTAGTAACATAAATTTTAATCATTTCTTCAAATTTTTTTAATTGTATGAATAATTATTTGTATAGTGTTGTATTTGAAATATGTGGTTTAGAGTTTCATAATCTCTTTAATGTAGTTTCATACCTTATTTACTGTTTATTTAATGATACAGCTCATAGCTATAGAATTATCATTTTGTTGGTTTGTAGGAGGAATTTTCAGTAAACTGTTTACTTAAATCTATTGTGTAAAACAGTCCTGTCAGTAGTCATTTTTGGTTGCTAGGTGGCAGTACTCTGTTGACAAAAATGTTTGGGATTGAAGTTAATAATTTTTGTATTTCTTTGCATATCATTATAACTGGTGCTGAGTGCATAAAAAGTTCACCCAAAAATCAAGTCAATATTTAAAAAGAAAGAGAAAAATGTTTACCTCTATTCCTAAGTTGATCAACGAGATGATAGAATTAATAATCTTTTCACAAACAGATTAAAGTACATTCAAGTTCACTGGTTATAGTAAGTATCTTGTTGTGTTAAAATATTTCATTACCAAACACTATAAATATGGTGTGTTGATTTTCCTTCATTTCTACAAATAAGTTTCATTTTTTTATATAAATTTACAGCTAAGAAATTTGATGTGGCTTGCCACCTAGGGACTCACCCAGCTCTTTTGGACCGTGCCTACAACAGACCAAAGCTTGACACTTTAAAAAAAACTGTCTTATCACTTGATGAAGAAAGCTTAACTGTAAGATGCTCTTGTTTTTAAAAGATTAGCTTGTTGTAATAAAACAACTGTATAGAAATATTTTTGTTAACAGTTTTATATCAACTGCAATATTTCTTTTAACCAGTGTTTTATCATAGAACATGTAATAGAAATAACTCCAAAGAAACTAAACAAATTTATTGTTTGATAATCAAAATATAAAAAAAATTGACTACGTATGTATGTGTAAGGAGATAAGACTTACTGTACACTAATTATATCACATACATGAAAACGTTATTAATTAGTAAACTTCTGTATCTCTTTCAGCATATAATATAGAATGAATGACTATTAACATATGTGAAAAATAATAATCAATTTGGTATATAGGAATATTAAATCTTGTTATGCTATTTTCATTTCAATGGTATAATAGGTAAATAGATTATGTTATGGGACTACTGAATTCTGTAAGTAACAATTAAACCTTTTCAGCTTCTTCACAGTTTAGTTATCTCTCTCAACATGTCAATTAGACCTCTTTGTACTTGTTTAAAGTCTTTATAGATTTAATACTTCTAACTTTCAATATAGTGTGTATATCTTCACAAAATTTGGCAGTCTTTTGGTTAATATTATTAGTCTTTCACATGCAAAACTCATTTTTGGGAAGTATTTTTATTAAAATAATATAAAGATTTGTCCATGAATATATTAAGTATTTGTTTTGAACAGTCCATGTGCAAAGTAATTTTTGTTAAAATGAAAAATACTTTTCTCATTTCAAAAATCTCAAATTTCCTTTGTATAATCCCTAAAACCTCCTAAATGCATTTCAAACGTTTTTTTTTTCAGTAAAACTTTATAGTTTATCTGTTATTTTCTTTACTCTATCTCAAAACAGAATCAGTCAATTCGACCAACCTTGTAACCACCAAAAAGTAAAATCAAAATAAATCTAAATTACCCACTTTTTCTTTCTGGAATGACTTCAAATTGTAACATGAAGCTCTAAGTTTGTAACAATATGCATCTATTTATAATTAAATTTTATTGTTTTATTGCTCTTTGAACCTTGTCTAGCTACTATTCGTGGCATTATAAGTTGTAAATCACTCAGAGAATGTACAGTTCACATTACACTAATGAATTACATTACCCACGAGCTACCTTCAAAGCCTCAGTATGGTCGGGGGTGGGCGTCCTGGGAAACGAGTAAAGTCGTCCCTGGCGCTCCATGAAATGCTCCCAAATGAAAAGACCTGCTTGTTAAGCCTCTACTGAGGAAGTCCTATTCACTGCCTTCTCGTGGCGGAGGTGTTTTCACTGAAGTGAAAGGGCGTAAACGGGTGATCCGCTCTATAACGGGTTCGGTGGTTCATTGATCACCTAGGGGAGTTGGCCAAACCCTAATTTAAAACCAACAACGGTGGAACAGAACTGGCGGATTGAGCGGATGAGGTCAACACGACCCAACGGTCATGATGGCGGTACTAACTGCTGCATCTGGGCAGATGGGGCTCAACAGCCTTGGAAGGCAGCTCATCTAGGGGAAGGAAAACCCTGACTTCAAACCCTCGCTGCCTTGCGGATGCATCTGACCATGGAAGACTTCAGGAGAAAACCTCGAGGAAAAATCTGGAGTTGGAGCCTCGAAGGCAGTTCAACGTTGATTTCAACCCCATTCTGACAGCTCCTGTGACCGGGTTGACACCAAACTGTATCAGCACTGCTGTTCCTTTGGCCCCGTTATCGAGGTGGAGAGGGGGGGCAAGTTGCGTGGGCAACAGCCTGTCCCACATATCAGAATGCCCAGGCTTATATCCACCGGGACTGTCACTCTCGTGTCGGTCTCCTTAGCCACAAGAGACGCTGCTCTAGACGAGCGATCAACATGAGCTAACAATGGAGGGATGCTCATCCATGGTCAAACCTGGCCGAAGGAGGCCTACAACAAAAAAAAACCCACGAGCTGCTTGAGTGTTTGCTTCATGAAACATTTTTATTGTAATATTATTATTATTTATTTTACCTAATCTAATCTTAACAAACCTAAAAGGATCCCAATTTTTACATTTTAGTTACTTTTATAAACTTTTTTCCCTAATTATTATATACTAATGATAGTAATGCACTTAATAATTTTTATTGAATTAAATAATGCACCAAACAATATAGACTAATAACATGCAAAAAAGTAGACAAATTCCCTAACCTTTCCAAATTTTTCTGGCTTTCTAACTATGCAACAAGAGTCTTTACAAAACCTTGACTTTCTATTGGTTATAGGTAATATATAAATAAATGTAAGAGAGAACTATTAACAAATCCTGAAAGAGAAGATGTGGCAGGAGGGGGTTGATTTTCTATTTGATAGCTCTGTAACCAAAAAAAATTTAAGACTATAAAACATATGGTTTCTTGGAGCAATGACGATTTTATAGTGAGTAATTTATGTTTAATTTTGTACTTTTCCAAGGGGTGGTGAATAAAATAGAGGAGACAAGATGCCTAGAGAAAATGTGTCACTATGGGAAATTCAGGATTTTTTTAATATGGCCTTGTAGAATTAAGAACTTAAAACTTGCATACTATTCTAACTGTTATAACATAAACAAAAAGTACTTTCATAAAATTTTGAATGTAAGACACTAACATCTTGTGTCATTTGTGTTCAGTAAAGGATACCTGTGGCGATAGGGTTAAATTGTTCTGTATGAATTATTTAGGTGCATCTGAAGATACTTTAGTCTCTTGTTACTAATATTTTCCCCCCTCCCCTCAGTGGCTTAGTGGGAGGTCTGTGGGCTTAAAGTGCTAAAAATTGGGTTTTGATACCTATGGTGGACAGTGCACAGATTAGCCCATTGTGTAATTTGGTGCTTAACAACAACAAACCAAACAAAACCTAACAAATTTGTTTCCCCTTTCAGCATATAGCTAAAGAGAAGAGAAAGCAATATGAAGAACTAGACCAACGTATTCAACGAGAGAGAGAGTTAACTGTCCTTACCCAGAAGATGGAGACTAAAAAGAAATTAATGGTATAGTATAAACATTTACCCTGGCATTTTACAGTTGGTTTCAATAAAAGATTTTAATGTAAAGCCAGGAAGAAAGATGAAAATATTTAATGACAGCATAAATCAATATAACCAAGTAGATCCTCAATGGATCTTATTTGGTAGTAAAAAATAACTTTAGAAAGGTTGACCCCTACTGATGAAATTATAAAATTAAATTTATGTAGTATGCAATTACACAACTTATTTTCCAATAGTATATATATATATACCATATCAAAAAATATTTTTTCTGTGTTCTGATATGGGCATCATAACCTTATTGAGTCCATGTAGCGTTACTTTTTGTAGCGTGACTGGTCAAGGAACTTATATAATGTTTCATAGAATAGTTGCATTGTTTCTTACTTGAACTTGTGTATGGAGGGAACTGTGACTAATATGGAGAAGAGATATTTTTGACATTCTAGTGCTTATTTTCTGAATGGTCAACTACAGAAAGAATGTATGCTATGAATGTTGTTTTGTTGCTTTGACATTAAATTTGTTCCATTTTTTGAGGAAGATGGTCCATCTTTGATATGAGGGGATCACAACTTACTTTTGGAATCCTTTCAATGTGTATTTGTCATACTAGTTCCTTCTGATCATATGCTGCTTTATTCCATTCTTAGCTAATTAAACACAGTTATACCATACTCAGCCTCTTTATTTAAATGCAGTTCAACTCTTAATTTATTTACAATGGTTGTACTAGCTCCTGATGATTAATAATCATATACATTGTTTTAGTAAAATTTTTAACTTCTCTTCACTGTTTCTTGTCTGTTTCCACATGCAACAAATCACTAATCTGTTCATCCACATTCTAGAGCCATAAATCTCTTGTTTTTATAGAAATCAGTTTTCTTTGTGTGAAGTTTAACTTTGAGGTACCACAGAACTAAGTCTCACCACAAAGTAATATTATATGATACATTACTTGCTACTCACCAAACACTGTCCCAAAAAGAGTTCTGTGGTAAGGACTGGAATAAATAGATTTTGAATGAATGGAAATCACCTACTGGTTTAAAAAAGAATTATTTACTTAAAGATCAAAATTCTAGTAACATAAAGATTGACTTCCAATTAAACTTCTCACAACTATCTGATATCTTAGCAGGAATTAATTGTTCTTGTCACCATATGATATTATTAACGTAAATGTTGAAGTTGTCAGGCAGAGTAAAATATCAAAGAGATAATTAAAAGGAAAAATTGTTTATCAATAAGTAAGTATAACATAAATGAATTATTAGAGATGAGGAAGGACTACCTTTATATTATTTTACCTCGCTTAGGTATTAGGACTCGATTTCTAAACTTGTAACTAGTTTTACAGTAAGAAAGAATTATTTTTAGAACAGGTACAACGTTTCGATTACCGGTGCGATCATTCCCAAGTACACAAGAATGACTGCACATCAAAATGTCATACCTGTTCTAAAAACAAATCCTACTCACTGTAAAAGCTGTAACTTCTAATGAAGTATACTCAATCAGTAAGTAAACTCAAAATGAAATTATTAGTTTTTCAGGTGTTATTTAATGAATCTCAGGTAAGCAGAGTGACAGTGTGAGAAAAAATACTTTTTGGATGTTAACTAATTGTTTATTATTTATTATTCCTTAACAAAATTGTTAATATAAAAGCAAAATTATTTTCAGCAACTGCAAATCAGTGTGTGTATGTAATAACAATGCTATTTTGTCCTTTGGCAGCCAACAAAAGAAAATCATTCAGGTCAAACTTTTACAATCTATTTTATTATTTCAGGTATACAAAATCATTGGCTAAACACAATTAAAAAATTTTATTTCATAATAAAGTTATAATAAATCATTTGTGTTTTATCACTGTCAAAAATGTCACAGGAGTTATTGATTGAATCTGATGGATCTGTCATTTGTTTGAGGATTCATAATGATAAGATATGGTGTTTGAATCCTGCAGTGGGCACATTGTAGAAAGTTTATTGAGCAGCTGTGTTCTTATAAAAGCAGTTTGTATTACATGCAGCTAACTAGTTCAAATTACTAAAGGGCATCATATTCATTTTAAGCCTAAGTAACTACATAAATAGTTGTTTCACTTTGATATTACATGAGCAGTGATATGTGCTAATGTGTGAGTGTTTTCTTCCTACTTCAGAATTCTAAGGATAAACCAATCAAGAAGATCAAAGATGGCACTAAAGACTCTGCACCCATCTATTTATGGAAGAAAGAACGTAAAAGATAAATGTGGTTTAGACACTGTACACCTGCATTGTGCTTGTTAAATATAGTTTGTATGAAAGTTGTTTTATAACAAATAAATATGTTGTTTTCTTCTGGATATCTCTGGAATGATTTTAGTGAATTTAACTAAAATTAGTTCGTAAAATAAAAACCGAAGATAATTGCTGTCAAGTAGAAAAAAAAATGATTTCATGTGATATGACTATGAAACAGATGTATTTAGAGATTGGATCATAACCTTATGAAACAGATGTATTTAAAGATTGGATTCATAACCTTATGAAACAGATGTATTTAAAGATTGGATCATAACCTTATGAAACAGATGTATTTAAAGATTGGATCATAACCTTATGAAACAGATGTATTTAAAGATTGGATCATAACCTTATGAAACAGATGTATTTAAAGATTGGATCATAACCTTATGAAACAGATGTATTTAAAGATTGGATCATAACCTTATGAAACAGATGTATTTAAAGATTGGATCATAACCTTATGAAACAGATGTATTTAAAGATTGGATCATAACCTTATGAAACAGATGTATTTAAAGATTGGATCATAACCTTATGAAACAGATGTA